CTACGCCCCTCCCACTCCCCGCCCACCCTAGTCTTCGCCCCGCCCACTCCCTGTCTACCTCCCGCCCATCCACGCCCACAGTCCGCATCGCAGCAGGAGCTGGGCGGCTGTGCGAGGTGCAGGGACTCCTGGCGGCTCGGGGACCCTGCTCCCACCGCGCCCATCTGTCCCTCTGGCTCCTGCGTCTGGACCCGCGGGCGACTGGGTGAGCACCCTGATGGGTGGGTGTACATGGGCCAGGAGGATCCCCCACAGCCTGGGTCCCTGACCACCCGCAACGTTTTCAGTACATCGTGTGCATATTCACCTTTTCCGTATAGCTGAACACATTCACTAGCTAGCCGTCACACAGGTCACACATACACCCCTAAAAAGTAACGTTTGAGAGCCACAGAATTCTCTCCTCTCCCCCTCCTCTGCGTCCTCACCTGGGGAAATCGAGGCAAGGGACTTGGACCCACCATCTTAAAATGTCAGGAACCCAAACCATGGCAGGAAGGGTCAGCCCTCACCTGCCCCTCATCCACTTAAAAGAACTGACGATGGAGGGCCAGCAGCCAGCTTCCTGTTACATGTCCACCTCGCCCTGATGTGTCCACTCAAGTCTTTTCATCCCGATAGCGTTGGCTAGCTCTTCGCTGCAGGAACCACGAAAAGGTCACTTGGGACAAGCAATTTGAAAATTTTCATCACATTTATGATGAGCCTGCTGTAATCTAAACACTGCACTGGAGATATAGAGATGAGCTCATAGGCAGGGCTCTTACTACCTGAAGCTTGTGTTCTGATTGAATGAAAGTTGCTCACAGATGCTACACAACTGTGGTTCCGGGTTACTAATTTGTTGATGTGTTTCAAGCTGAGAGTATGCCTGGATTTATCATTATTGTTCCTTAGAATTTTTACATCCCTTCCTTTTATTTCTGCAAAAAGTCTTTGGCAAATTAGCAAATACATCGCATTAACAGTTAATAAAGCATTTGCGCTGGAATGGGAAAATCCCCAAGGGCAGGATTTTGTCCTGTTCACAGCTAGAATTGCCAGTGATTAAAACTGTGCCTATTTCGCTCTGGGTGCTCAAATTTTTGTTGAAGGAATAAGTATCCCTGGAAACAGGGGCTGGCTAACTTGCTTGGGATTTAAAGTTTATATTTGGGGTTTGAAATCATACTCTCTGAATGAGTTTATCAGTAAAATCTGACTATGAGAAACTTGATCAACAATTACAAGATCTGTTCGTCTTAGTCATCAAATTTAACTGCAGAAATCAAGTTTCAGATGAGATTTAAAAAAGGCACCGATGTGCCTTCCTATGTGGGGGGAAATAAATGAAAGAAAGATTTTCAAGACTTGAAGAGGTTATATAACCCATCCAAGGTCACACAGCTCAAATACAAAGTGGGTCATTACAAAACCCATACATTCAACAGGTCGGTCTTTTTAGTTTCTTAATGTTGTTTTTTTCTGGACACACTTCTGCATGTTTCTGTATAATCTTTCTAAAATGTCATTCCAATGCAATCTTTTTGGAAAAGATTTGTCAAGAACTGTAAATTGACCCTTCGACCCAGAAAATCCGTTTTTATGAATCTACCCAACAGATATGGACAGATGTTCGGTGTGGAAGAGGCTGACGAAGGAAGTGATGGAACATCTCTAAACTTGTATGTCGTGATTTAGACATGAAAAGCAAGTTGCAGAAGTGACTTCTCTTGTGGAAGAAAGTTACATATGTCTCTAAAATGTTTGTATTTAGAAGAAAACATTCCAAAGTGTTCATAACCGTGAGCCGTGGGGAATGGAGGGTGGAAAGACTGGGAACTTTAACTATTTATTCCATGTGGTTTTGTGCTATTTGTTTTTCCCAGTCAGTACCTGTTATGTTTATGATAAATGAGTGCCTCTATGACTCCAGGGGTGTTCTCGCCGGAGAACAATAGAACATCAAGAAATAAAATCTTATCTGTTAATCCAGTTTAACTTTGCATTCAACGTTTTGTCCGCCTACAGTTGGCTCCCATTGAACTTACTGTCAGTTAGAAGGTTGATGAACACAGAACCAGAAAGCAGCAAGGGTCAAGAAGAGATAAAATTCAATCCCATTGTTGTTATTTACTGTGAAGAACAAACTTAAAACAACATGAAATCCTTGACGTATTCAACACACATTCTCCTCTGCCCACTGTTCTGTCTCCTATTGAGGATGTTGATGGGGTTCAGAGTCCCTTAAAAAAGGACAGGTAGGGGGCCTGCCTATTCAACAGCTTGAAGGTATTTCAACTTGTTTGTTATAAATGTACATTTGTAAATGTCAGACTTTCTTTAACCCTGCAGACAATTAGTGTTGACAGATTCTTGTGAATGCTTTCAGAATTTTTGTATGCACAGTCACACATAATAAGTACTATTTTTAAAAAACTTAGAACTAAACTATCTGAACTAGTGTGCAACTTCCGTTTTGAATGTAACATGCCTGCAAAAGTGATTTCTTTTGTGGAAGAAAATGACATATGTCTTTCAAATGTTTGTATTTAGAAGAAAACACTCCGAAGTGTTCATATCATCGAACTACGGGGAATGGAGGGGTGGAAAGAGCATGGGTCGTGGGCTGAAGGGTCTTGGGTTCGTTTCCCGTCAAGGACACGTGCCTCAGTTGCAGGTTTGATCCTCGGCCCTGGTCAGGGCACGTGTGGGAGGCAACCAATCAATGTGTCTCTCTCACATCGAAGTTTCTCTCTCTCTGTCTCTCCCCCACTCCCTCCCACTCTCTCTAAAAATCAAAGGAAAAATATCCTCAGATGAGGATTAACAACAACAAAAAGTGGTCATCAGTAAGATCGGTGAACTTGAAGACTTAGCAAGAGAAATCATTGAAATGTATAACAGCAAGAAAAAAGAATTTAAAGAACAAAACAAAAGCAGAATATCAGTGAGTGGTGGGACATCCAGCAATGTAATATGCAAGTGACTACTCCCTCAAGAAGAAGGCTGAGGGAGGGAACAGAAAAAAACATTTGAAGAAATAATGGCTGGACATGTCCTGAACTTCACAAAAACTATAAACTCATCGATCCAAGATAATCAGTGAACCTGAAGCACAAGCAACATGAAGAAAGTGCTATCCAATTGCTCAAAATCAATGATAAAGACGTAATATGCAAAGTGACTACTCCCTCAAGAAGAAGGCTGAGGGAAGGAACAGAAAAAAACATTTGAAGAAATAATGGCTGAACATGTCCTGAACTTCACAAAAACTATAAACTCATCGATCCAAGATAATCAGTGAACCTGAAGCACAAGCAACATGAAGAAAGCTCTATCCAAATTGCTCAAAATCAATGATAAAGAGAAAATCTTAAAAGTAGCCAGGGGAAAAAAGACATGTTTTACCCGGGAGGTGGGGTGATGGGGAGGTGGTGAGGGGAGGGAGGTTGGTAAGGTTATAAGCAGGTGAGGGTTCCAGCAGAGTCTGGAAGCACTGTGAGGTGAAGACAGCAGGTGACCATCTTCAAGTATTAAAAGAACACTGTAAACTCAGAATTCTACACGCAGTGAAGATATAGTACAGAACGAAGGCAGGTACTTTTTCAGACTCATAAAACCTGGAGGAGTTCATCACCAGCAAGAAAGGGTAAAAGAAATCCTTCCAGCGGAAGGAAAACGACAGCAGGTGGGACGAAGCCATTCTAACAGGTGTGCAACGGTGCCTCGCTGCTGTTTTAATCTGCAATTCCCTGATGACATGGATGTAGAGCATCTTTCAGACGCTTATTTGCATCTCTCTCTTTTCTTTTTCTAAATGTATTCTTATTGATTTCAGAGAGGAAGGGAGAGGGAGAGAGAGATAGAAACATCAATGATGAGAGAGAATCATTGATTGGCAGCCTCCTGCACGCTCCCCCTCCCCCCCCCGCACCCACTAGGGATCGAGGCCACAACCTGGGCATGTGCTCCAACCGTGACCTCCTAGTTCATAGGTCGACACTCAACCACTGAGCCACACCAGCCGGGCTGTAATGATCCTTTTAGTACATTTGTACCGCTTAGACCAGCGGTTCTCAACCTGTGGGTCGCGACCCCTTTGGCGGTGGAACGACCCTTTCACAGGGGTCGCCTAAGACCATCCTACATTACGATTCATAACAATAGCAACATTACAGTTATGAAGTAGCAACGAGAATAATTTTATGGTCGGGTCACAACATGAGGAACTGTATTTAAAGGGCCTGAAGGTTGAGAACCACTGGCTTAGACTCATGCAGTAAGCTCTCTAATCACGAGCATATTTTGCAATTAGCAAATTAGCAACGATTCCTCTTTTACAAATGAGGATGAATCGAGACCCTAAAAGAAACCAACTCAATATGCATCTACCAATATTAGTTACCCGGGGACACTGCTCGGGTGAAGAGCCGTGAGGATTCTGAAAGGGTCCCCAACGTGGACATTCAAAGAAAGCGGGGTGTCCTACAGGGGCTGGAACGAGGGCCACGCTCGCCATGAAGACGCGCTCGCCCTTGGCAGCCCAACACGCATGGCGACAGGTGGAGCGACTACAAATAGCCTTGGCCTCCGAGCGGAAAAAATGAGAAGCTGGGCCAAGGCTTTCAAAGTGACTTAGTGACAGGAATGCCAGGGGCAGACCTGAGGATACAGGGGGGCAGTCACAGGTTCACGGAGGACCTGGGAGCG